CGGCGTGGGCCCGTTCTCACCCGGCTCGTCTCTCCGCAGGCTCCGGAGGGATGTGCCCAACAGATGCAATACTCACTTTGACGCCGTGGCCCAGATCAGAGGAGAGGCTTTCTTTTTCAAAGGTAAGCGACTGCTTTCACCGCTGCTGGTCTCCATGATCCTTGCGTGCCTGAAGCCCTGCAATGATGTACGTACAACACTGCCAGGCTAGCTCTGTAACGCTGGCAGAGGCGATATCGGACCATCTGGAGCGTGCGATTAGGATAAGTTGGCTCTGAGTTCACAGACTGGAGACTACTTCTGGGTCTTGCAGTGCCCCCAGACCCAAGCAATGCTTCTCACAGACCACTAACAACTTCTGGCCCAGCTCAAAGGTTTGAGACCTTTAATCAACCCACTAAGGCTGAGGACAGATGATAAGGAAATGTTAATGTAGATGAGAATCCAGCCTGCAGTGCAGAAGGAATCGCCAGTCTCAGCCCTGCCAGACGCGGGGTGACGAAGGAGGTGCCAGTACGGAGGATGCCCGGGGACATGCAGCAGCGCTGATGAGTGACAGGCAGAGATTGCGAGGAGAGGGGGCAGCAGCTAACCTGGGACTGTTAGGGAGGAGGAAAAGAAGGGATGTGGTGAAGGTATCCGAATGACTGAACAGTAAATCACATGTTTCTCTTTATCCAAAAAAGAGGAGAAAGCCAGCGAAACTAAAACACAATTTATTTAAAAATGACAAAAATGAATATTCTTTAACACAGCACATAATTAACCAATGGAGTCTGCAGCTGGGAGAACTTAAGGGTGTGACAAGGTTAGGAGGATTCTAGCGGGTCCCTAGAAAGGGGGAGAGATGAGCAGAGTTTCTGCAGTTACACTAATGGAGGTAAGCCCTCGTGCTTCTGGTCACCCGCTTGTCACCGGGCGTGCGGTGCTCAGGGCTTTCTCGCTTTGAAGTGGCCGTTCTGGTGAAGATCCAGCCCTGTGCTTTCCACTCTGCCCCTCATTGATCCTTTGCACCCCACTGCCCCGAAGTTGAAAGTGCAGAACTAAAATCTGATATTTGCAATGTAGAGACAAAATCTGGGCTGAACCAAGGATTAACAGAACAACAGCGCTCTGTGGCTTTTTTCCTGCACGCCTTCGACTTCCCTTGCCTCCTGCACTTCATCTTCTCTGCTGTTGCTTGCTGTGCGTCACTCGCAGACAACACGCACGCGGTTACAGAGGCATCTGCTTCTGTGTCAGCAGACAGTTGCTGACAGTGTTTCTCTGGGGTGCCCCGCTGTCTAGGAGGGTAGCCCCTCTCTGCGTGACACGGCGAGGCTCGGGGGGAGGGAGGAACGGCGCGAGGGCGATGCTGTGTGCGCCCTTTGGGGAGCACAGGGCACAAGAGGATGTTCCCCTTGCAGGAGTTGTTCAGTTTTGTACCTGCAACTGTGGATTCAAATGCTGGCTCCAAAAAGCCCCAGTGAGGAAGGGAAAATAAGAGACAAGAGCTGGTGTCCAGGATAAATGGCCATCTCTTTTTTTTCAGAGAGGAACTGAAAAAATCAAAGCCAAAAAGAAATACCTCTCAGTCTCTATTTTTTGCATATGCTTATTTTTGCGTATGCTTATTGTGGGCCCAAATGCCCGCAGTGCCCAAATGCCCAAAATGGAAAGGCCCCGGTGTCAGCGCATCGGAGCTGCGAGGCTGCCTTTGGGGCTGCAGAGAGCGCGGGGCTGCCGTTGCCCTTCGGAGGCTCCCGGCGCCGCGAGGGCCCGCGTCACACGCGACCTCACCGCCAATGAACATTTTGTTCTGGGCTGATCCAGCTGATTTCCTAGCTGAAGAGAAGCGTCTCCCGCTGTGATCAGACACAGGGACCGGCGTTCCCCAGGGCTCCCAGACTTGATTTTTATTCAAGGCAACGGTGGGTTCTCTGCACTTCTGAAGCTCGGCTCGCTTTGATTTAGGTGCCTCACTACAGACTCCTGAAGTTTGACAGCTTTGGCCTGCGTGCGCGTTTGTGTTTGTACAGTGCACGCAGCAGGCTTGCCAGAGGCATCCAAAGTACTGCGAGCATGGTGCACACCTGGAATCAAAATCACCTAGTTTTACAGAAAGCAATTGCTTCAGCCCGTCATCCATATAAAATGAGACGCTTGGGACAGCAGGACTTTACACTTAGCTTTCATCCTTCTCAATCTGCCAGCTCAGAGGGTGATTTTAAATCACGCTGTCTAGCTTAAAACGAATGTGGGTTGGGGTTTTTTATTTTATTATATCTTTGCATGCTAATGGCAGCAGTTCCCCTGCATATCCAGCTTTGCCTGGTGATTGTCTAAGTAACTGCAGCACTTTGGCAAGCAGGCTTGGCCACGACAAAACATGAGTGTGGGTAAACTGGGGCCATCATTGCTACCTCAATTGCTATATTTTTGGCTTTTTCCTAATAGCCTATCAAAAAACCCAACAACAGAACTAACCATCAGGCCAGACCGTGCCTGACTCTGAGTGTAGGTTTAGACCTTGTTTGCTGCAGCTGTGCACCCGCTGAGCCCAGTGCTACGAAACGGCTAAAATGGCAAAAGCGCCTGGGCTTCGCTTGTTGTGTCAAATTAGCACAGAGCACTTAGAAGTTTAGCTGTGTATCTACTAAAGGAGCAATTATTTCAAGATATATTTCATATTAAAAAACAGTGAAAATCTGGCTTGGTCTAGTGCCTCTCTAATTAGTGATGCAGAGATCATCTTTATTTAATTACATGTGTTTCCATAGACGTACGATGGCCATCGAGTTTGAATACTTTTTTTTTTATGTTCTTAAAAAGAATCTATAATTATGGCAGCTCCTACCACATTTGAATGCATTATTCATCCATAGGCTTCAGTCAGATAGAGCAAATATGCAAACTGGAGCAGAAGAACAAGAATATGATATAAATCCTTATAATTATAATAAAAACCCTCTCTGCAGATGTTTAAGTGTTGGAGTTTTGCCTCCTGCATTATTAGGCTAAGATCCAATTTCCATAAAATTTTGAAAGACCATATCGCAATCTGCCAGCTCTGGAGAAAGAGCTGAGCATCTTGAATACAAATCTGAAGAAGCATCTTTGGTTTCTGTTGCTCATTTCCCCTTGGGAATCGATGCAAAAGCAGATGTAAATAACATGCAATAATTTCTAACAGGCAAAAAACAAATATGAGACAAAGTTGAGAGTTAGACATCTTGCTTTGACTCGGATTTCACTGTGTGGAGCTCTCCAGGGAAAACGCAGCATGAAACGTGCTGCAGAAACTCAGGCTGAGAAGCCCAGAAGTAGTGAAGACAGTCAGTTTTCGAGTTGCTACTAACATCATTAAGACTCCTCTGGAAATCCAGCATGGAGCATCCTCCCCCCACAGAGCCAACCTGGTTCCTTTTCCATACCCCAAAATATTCACAAAATGCCCCCAGCCAAACTCTCCTTTGGTATAAGCCGGAGCAGCTTTACGGCAGGTGTGGGAAGCGTGCCTGCTCGTGCCACCAGGAAACGTGGCCTTTTGCAGCACCTCAGGACCGACGTCCCCCCGCTTAGCATATGCCTTTAGATTGTACCCAGACGCCTTCGTTGTGCCTCCTTTTCTGTTTTACCCCGGTCCTGCTTTATTGATATAGTTTCCTCCTCCTCTATTTTCTTACTCCCTTTCTTCATTTAAAAAGCTCTGAAACGTCAGTTAGCGTTTCATAGGTTTCTAAACGCTAGGACAGCCGGGCGCCGCGCTGAAAGCGGGGCAGCAGCCGCAGTCAGCGCTGTTTGCAGAAAGCCCCCGGTGCTCTGGGGAGGGCAGAAGCAGGCACGCTTCTTCAGAGCCTCTCTAAAGGCTGTGCTAGTCCGGTTTAGTTTTAGCGGCTCCAGTGATCCTTAGGCTGCTGTTGCTAGGAAGTCCCCGTGCAAAAGCGCCGAGGAAGGCGATGAAAGACCTCCTCTTGCCTTGGGTGATCTCCGATTGAGCGGTGCAGCAGCACTGGTGGGAGCTTCCCTCCTCAGGCAGGACTGCGATAACTGCAGTGCGGCGTCCTGGAGTTGCTGCGATCCCAGAAAGGGGATGTCTCCTGCAGGCTGCCAGGGGTATGAAGAGCTAGCAGCTGATGGTGGGAAACAGGACGCTTGTAATTCATAGCTCCCATCCTGTGCACTGTGCTTTCTGCTCCTGATGCATCCCACAGCCGTCATCTCTTCCCCCCCAGCGCAAGTGTGTTGCAGTGTGGTTCAGTAATGTCCAGTCTGTTCCTCCAGGCAAGTACTTCTGGAGACTGACTCGCAATAAGCACTTGGTCTCCCTCCAGCCGGCTCAGATCCACCGTTTTTGGCGGGGTTTGCCTCTGAATTTGGACAGCGTGGATGCAGTCTATGAGAGAACCAGTGACCACAAGATTGTGTTCTTCAAAGGTGAGAGCAAACGCAGGGATGGAGATATCCCGTACCCCTAGCGACGTGTCTTCCTGTTCTATAGCTCAGCGTCAAGGTAACTTTACGGTCTGACGAGCCCTGCAGACAGGGGAGACGCGTGCCGCTCAGTAAGGTTCTCCCAGGCGAGACCGGAGACGTGCTACCAGGCCGCCCTGTGAGCCCGAGAGCGCCAGGCTGCCCCAAGTGAGGCTGTTAGGAAGGGCAGTCAGACAGTAGCGACCAGGTCCCGTAAGAAATGAGGCAAACCTCATTTAAGAAAATCTTCAGACAAACCTAATTGAAATCTTTGCTTTTCAAGAGCAAAGCGAAAGCGGAAACCACCTTGCCCCTCCACTTTACAGGTTTTGTTCTCTTTCTTTCCTTCTTGCCTTTTCTCTCTTTTTAATATTTTTTGCCGAGAAGGAAGGCAGCTGCAGAGGGGACAAAAAATGAGAACCTGAAGAGCTAGGGTTTGCTTATTACATTTCTGTTTCAATTTTCTTCTTAAAATAAGTGGTAGAGTCCTCTTTTTTTTTTTTAAAAACTCCCTCAAGTTTCTTTCTGAGAAGCTGGGGGAGAGATTCGTTCTCCGTTCCTAAGGAAATGTCCTACTAGCATCTCTCACATGCCGCGGTGCCCACTGAAATCGTTTGGGACTGTTGGAGTCACCTAGCAGGCTTCTGCAGGCCCTGCAGCCGGGGGCCGAGGCGTCCAAGCCTCGGGCAGGCGTGGGGTTGTGTTTCTGAAAAATCACCTGCTGGAAGAACTAAATGTATCTCCATCCCATATGTTCCTTGCACCGTGTTTGCTGCCCGTTGCTGCTCTGGCAACATAAATAACCACATTGGTTCCCAGCGTCGCGGCCGAACATTGCTGCCTTCCCTGGGAGCCTCTCGGCAGCGCGACCCGGCACGTGACAGCAATCGGCGCCGGCAAAGCCGGCTGGGACC